TACCTGGTTGCTTGGGGACACGTGACCACTTCCGAGAGTTTTACGAAGAGCCCCTTAAACATGGACAGAGATCAAGTGCTCCAGATAGATTTGTTCGAGTTGCTGGTGAGCGGAAACAACACTTAGTATCAGTTCTGCGCAAATATTTGTTAAGAAGGACAAAAGAGGAAACTATTGGACATCTCATGTTAGGGAAGGAAGATAATGTTGTTTTTTGTGCGATGAGCGAACTGCAAAAACGGGTTTATCAGAGAATGCTACTGTTGCCTGATGTACAATGCCTTATCAATAAGGATGTGCCTTGCAGCTGTGGAAGCCCTCTCAAGCAAGTCGAATGTTGCAGGCGGACTGCTTCAGATGGTGTCATCTGGCCTTACCTTCACAGGGACAATCCAGATGGTTGTGATCACTGCCCTTTTTGCCTTGTTCTTCCATGTCTTGTCAAGCTCCAGCAGGTTATCCCTAAAGAATTTCTCTTGGTTATCTGTTGATCACTCGTACAATGATTCCGTGATGGTTAATGATGTAGGAAAAGTAATCTCAATGTAATTCTGTAGTTATTGCACTAGAGATAAGTTACCGGATGCAATATGAGTCATCCGATATAGAGAAGGAAAAAACTGAATATCTAGAAACTCTCAGTTTTAGGTGATGCATCAATGGAGTAATTAACCAATGTTGTTTCAACTTACCAACTTGAATGTTAAATGTGTTGAGGTAGGAGATAAGAGGGTACTCAGTGGAGTAGTTGAGGTGCTCATAAGCTTACTTGGACACCGTTATCATCAGGAAAGGATAAAAAGGACGAAGAAGGCTAAGGAAAAATTCTTGAAACTTAAAGAGGAAGACCTCTTACCACCTTAGAGGCTTAGAGCTGCCCTTAGTATGAAGCTCACTGGCGTGGCATGTCTCTATTAGTCTGGCAATTTTATTAGACCAATCAATTCTTACTCCTATGCTCGCACTTTTAGCCTTTCAAACGCATTGAGACTTCTCTTACAGTACTTTTGACTTACCATGTGACGTGACTGACACACGAAAAATGTATCACATGTTACCTTCAAACATAATGATTGTTGGTTGTCTGGTGGAGTATGGAGTGGGCGTCACTTGTTTATTTCATTCAACTTTCTAGTTATTTGCAGAACTGTTACCCCTTCAATCCATCTTAGTTTCTTTTGAAGTTATTTTTCATCCCTCTCTTGCATAATTTTGTATCCTCACTTTTTGGATCTCTCCAAGCAGATAAGCAACCATTTGGAGCTTATCAAGCCTAATCCAAGGGATGATCCAGATAAACAAAGAAGAGATGCAGAATTTGCTGCTGCTGTATTTGGTGAGGATGTTGACTTGGTTGGAGGGAATACTCAAAATAAGAGCTTCTTGGGCTTAAGTAATGTTGAACATTGCGGGAAAATGAGAGCATTGGAGAAACTAATGTCCTCTTGGGTTTCACAAAGTGACAAGATTCTTCTTTTCAGCTATTCTGTAAGGTGCGACGTCAGTATTTAGTTCTTTTGACCTTTTGAACTCCTAATATATGTGAATGTTGCAGAAAGCTAGGTGCTTGGCTAACAATATGATTTTTTCTTTCTTTTGTGATCGAGATTTAAGAAGTCCAATTATTTTGTAGTTTAATACATTGAATCCGTTCTTTTTGTCGTTTTCATCAGTAATGATAATCATTCACTCATCTTTTATGGTGATATTTTAACTACTCCATTGATTCCTCTTCTCTATTATTGTCTGTCACGTGTTATTAATTCAAAAGACTGCATGAGTAACATGTTTTTTCTGCTTTATTCAAATATTAGACCAATGATGGTTTTGTTCTTTCAGATATGTCAAATTAATCCAATGATGGGCTAACCGAGTCTAAGAATTTTTTGTGATAGTCTAATGGCTATCTCCTTGAAGATAGTACTTGTAACCAATTGAAAGATGAAACCTCTCCAAGTTAAAGTTTTTAGCCTTACAATTTCATTTGATATTTCTTAATATAGGGATTACTTTATTTTCCTCTCTTTTTTTGATAATGGTGGTGTTTGGACCAGCTTGTGCGCACCTTGACTGTTTCACTAGGTACAGGCTACTCCTGCCAACATAAGTATCAGTTAACTCTACCCATCAAAACTTAGGCAGATGGGAAGAAAGCACGTAGTCTTTTTGGTCTCCGTTGGGTTTTGAACCCTAATCTCCAAGATTTGCAGTCCACTTGATTGACCACTAAATGACACCCTTGGGTGCACTTCCTTTTGCTTTTCTTTCAAGATTATTAAGTTGTGTTTATCTCTATCTGATCCTTAAAATTGAGGAATGGTCCAGTTTCATTGTCTAATTATTTAAAAGTTGCTGTTTGATTTTGCTACTCCTAACCCCATCTTGGATTAAAAGTACTCCAACATCACAAAAAAATTTCCTCTCAGATCTCTGGTAGTCGTGCACTCCCGTGACAACCTGAGGGCTGTAAATGATTTTAATGAGGAACCTCATCCTTTTTTTCTTTTTCATATAAGTAAGATCCCGTCCTCGGTTCACCAGATATTTTTCTCTATTTCTCTTGTTTTTGCAACTCTGTTCCAATGGAATCTGGAAACAGCAAGAGTCAGCCAAGGAGATGCATCTGCTTATAAAAATATACCTGTTGTATTTATTGCAAATATTTTCAGACATGCCATTCTTTCCTTGGTCCAAATTTTCCCTTTTTTAACATAATAATTTTGCCCTGAGCAGGATGCTGGACATACTTGAGAAATTTATTATACGCAAAGGCTATGGTTTTTCAAGACTTGATGGGTCCACCCCAACTGGCCTGCGCCAGTCTCTAGTTGATGACTTCAACTCCAGTCCAAGCAAACAGGTAGATATTAGTAAAATAATCAATCAATCAGCTCTTCGACCCAAAGTTAGTTGGGTTTGGCTATATTATCTGCTTTTGTATCCAATTTTTCTCTATTTAGGCCCAGTTCTCTTTATTTATGTGGAATAGAAAATTGGAAATTCAATTTTAGAACACAATCGAACTTTACTCCTCTTTATCATTTCTGTATTTTGATATCCTTCTCGTCTTAGGTATTCCTATTATCAACAAAAGCTGGTGGCCTTGGCCTTAACCTTGTTAGCGCGAATCGTGTAGTGATATTTGATCCAAACTGGAATCCTGCCCACGATCTGCAGGCCCAGGACAGGTCATTTCGATTTGGACAGAAGCGGCATGTTATTGTTTTCCGCCTACTTGCTGCTGGTTCTCTTGAAGAACTTGTCTACACTCGTCAGGTCTACAAACAGCAGTTATCAAACATTGCTGTCTCTGGAAATATGGAAAAACGCTATTTCGAGGGAGTTCAGGTTGAAAGTCACTTTTCTGTATTTGCTTTCTACGACCTAAGTATCAAGTTTGTGTCATTCTTCCAGCTGGAAATGGTTACTTATTCATGTTGCAACTTTCAGGATAGCAAGGAATTTCAAGGGGAGCTATTTGGAATATGCAATCTTTTCAGAGACTTATCTGACAAGCTCTTCACAAGTAATATCATTGAATTGCATGAAAAGAACAGAAAAAAAGATGATGGAACTCACTCAAAGGAGGACTTGAATGTACGTGGGATGTATTTTGTTCCTGAGAAAGATATAACTACAGCTTCTTTTGAGGGAGCTGAAAGCAGTAAACGTAAAGAAGAGGAGTGCACAGCAGTTGCTCCAGCGCTTGAAGACCTTGGTGAGTCCATTTCTTATTGGTTTCTGATAAATGATAATTGCTTTAAAGGTCCTTTATTGGAAGCAACGGGAAAGAAAAGAACGGTGACTACTGACTATGTAGGCACCCAAAGTAAAAATTCTCTCAAAAGAAAAGGAGTGTCAACATTGTTCTAACTTAAATATTGATCACCCTGAAAGGATAGGTACAGCTTCCTCTGTCCTTAATCATACAACAAACTTTCTTGATATCATTCCTTTTCTCTAGAAGAAGTTTCTTAGATTATTTTACTTAAAATTTGGTATAGCATGTCTCTTTATCAATTTAACTTTTCAACCTTCACTTTTTTTTAAACTATTACTGATATATAATACAAGTCAAGATTAACATTTTAAGCTTCATGCCTAGTCAAAATCTGCTGCTAAATACACAAAGGGGTAAGTACACAACTGGAAGATGGAAATAGTAGATCATCCCTCCTGATCCCGTGCTACACTCTCTCCTGTCCATCGATCTCCTTCCTCTTAGTAAAGCTAAGTGATTCTTTAACAAATTTGATATTTTTAGTTCTTTTTGGGATTGGATAAGACACAGGGAAAGGGAAAGTTGTACCTGAAAGGTTGAACCCTGCATTTCTAGAACGCAGAGTAGGTGTTTTATCGCTACATTACTACTCACCTTAAAATTGGTTATTTGATAAGATGGAACAGCGGATGGATATAGTTCTCTTAAAAACCTGGTTTTACTGTTGTACCTTAAAATTTCACTGATCTGCTGAAGTGGTTGACTATCTATTGTCTTTTTTTTGGTAACTTCTCTTTTTTTGGCAGAACTACTGAAGTTGTAGTATACAGAAATACAATGATGTTTTATTTTATTGCTCAATTGTATTTGATCCTTTTGATGTGTAGGTATTGTATATGCTCATCGGTATGAAGACATTGTTAACCTCGGACCAGCAAAGATCAAAGAGAAGAAAGAACAGACCATGCATTTAGATTACCCTCCGCGCCAGCCAAAGGCTTCAACTGCTGGGAAGAAGAAATTAGACACCATAACTGGGAAGGAGAACACAGGAACTGTCAATCCTATAACGATCCATAAAAAGAACCAGTACAGCATCCTTGCTCGTTCCATGGGTATGGAAGAAGTTCAGTTTAGCAAATGGCTCTTATCTGCAACACCAGCAGAGCGCGAAAAAGTACTTAAAGACTATCGTAAGAGAAAGGAGAAGATTCCTAATGGTTGAAACTTTCTTTTCATTGACTTGTAACATTTAGTCTGTACAGTTGCCTCTTTTTCATTTTTTTTTTTCAAAAATGTGTACAGGAAAGCTTAATAGTTTTGTATCTTCATTCATTCTAGCCAAATAGCCAGCACTAGATCAATGTGATGAGTGTAAATTGTATTTGTGAACAAACAATTAGCACTCTCAACAGAGTATAGATTGTTTTGGAATATAAGCAGTTCCCTTTGCAATTCTACTTTCTCTACATCTTGAAGCTGAGCTAACAATCTACTAATTGCAGCTACTTTCTCTGCATCTTGAACCTTGATACTGGCTTCGAGCTGCGACTGACAGATTGCACCTTCGAATTAACATCACTATTGTGTTCTACGATACTACCAGTAAAAGCCTGCAGAGCATATTGTCAGATCATATATCCCCTTCTTAATAGATCAAATAATATTATAATCATGCTTGAACGTACCTTACTGCTGTCGAATTGTGGTTCAGAGGGATGAGCCTCAGCCTGTAATAAAGCAGTTAGATCTATTTCTTTATTTCTGAACTCTGGAATGATGCAATGCAGCAAAACATGCATGGAACCGTGTTATTATGATGTAGATAATAGAACAGCAAGACATGCATGGAACAAAGTAGGTAAGAACAAAGAATCGTACTTTGGTCTCCGCTATAACAGGAGCCTTAACATCCTCTTCCGCTTGAGGTTCCATGGGAGCATTCTCAGTCAAATTGAACTTTCCATAAGCTAGATTCTCAGGTAAGCAGTTTTCTGGTACAATGCAATCTTTTAAGAGAAAAAGAAGTTAAAGAAAAAAGGAACTTGCAAATTGAATAATCCTCAGGAAAAGCAAAACTGAGAAAGAACTGGTAAAGTTTATCAACCATGACAGAAAACGAAGAAAGCTACAAGCGTCCTCTGAATGATTTGATGTTCCATGAAAACAACATAATTTGATAACTATAGAGAGGAGGTGAAAAAGGAAAAGGTCGATGCTGCCTCTAATTCTATCTTCCTCGAAGCTGAACTTTGAATTAAAAGTACTGAACAAAGCACCAGAAACCGTCTTCAGTAAGTGAATAATACTACCAGAAATTCAGAAGAGTAGACCCCACACACAAGTTTGACAAAAAGTAGAAAGTTCTACATAGAAGAATGACGTCAAAGATAACGCACCAGCATTGGGTACCTTATCAGCTCAAAGTAGTTGAGAGACTAACTAAAATTCCAAGGGGATAGTTGTTTTGGGTTGATTAGTTATTTATAGTTCATGCACAAGCAACTCCAAGAAGGTTCTGAATTACCCTAAATTGAATCTCTCCGTCTGGGCAGTTGCTTTGGAAGATTAACTTAACACTATACAAGTAATTTCACAAATTCAATAAGCAAGTGGCAAATGGAGTGTATATAGTTCACAATTCTTTCTTCTGGGGACAAGGCTTACCTTTAGATGTTGCTTTTGAACCTTCAACCTGCACAAAAAAATTTCAAATAGATTAGTTGAAAAATAACAAACAAATTCATAGATTGTCGGGAAAATAACTTGAGAACCAAGCATATCCTTTCCCAGTATATGGTAGAATGAGAAAAGATGCAAGTCAAGAATACACATCTTAGGTAGAATGGAAGGGTTACTCACATGCCAGTGATCAGGAAACTTTTCAGTGGACTGAATTCTTGAAGATTTACCTCTTTCCTCGAGCTTGCCAAAGTTATGCATCAAGCCACATGTCAATGCAATTTAGCAAAAATTACAGAAGCATAAATTGTGTATTCCAAGAGTCAAACTTTCTATTTAAGTTCAACAACATGCAACTGACCTCTAAACTTTTCATTTCTTCTTCTAAGATAACATGACCTGGGCTGACATCCGAGTCATCACTACCTATCTCTTCTTGATTGGCATGTTCAGCTTCTTCTTCTTCCTTTTCGAGTTCAGCGAGTCGGGAAAATATGCGATCATATTCCTCATCTTTGACATGAGATACATCTTCAGCTTGAGAAGAAATAGGAAGCTCGGGTTCCACAATACCTGAGTTTCAAGCAGTTTAGATAGTTTAGAGAATGAAATAAGCTGCAATTCGGAGCAATTAAGTGATGCTTGGTTACAAGTAGAACCACAAACCAAAACGATCAAAAAAAGAAAAAAATAGAAACACAAATCAAAGAACCACCAAAGACTAGTGAATGTTGCTGAAGGTAAAACTCTCATCACAACACTGGAAGATTACTTCAGAAAGCCATCTTCACAAACACAGGGAGTAGAAATCTCTCTCGGCCCTCCATCCATGTGTGCAGTATATATGAAAAAGCATCCCCATGTTACACTTAGGATATTGGTCCATGAAATGACAGTAGAAAGCTTGATGCCTTTGTTGCTTTTCACATGTGGAAAGAAACTATAAAAGCTACCTCTAACACACCAATAGTTGATATAAAATCAGTCAGACGCATTAGAAACTCTGCTTCTGTCTCTAACAATATTAGAAGGATGGAAATAATTAAACTAAGTGGATGATGATTAACTTGTCAATGTTGAATGAACTCAATAAAGATAGTCCAAATAACAAATGGTGGTTTAGATTTTCAAGTTCCTACAGGCCTTAGGAACTTATATTATGTTTGACAATATGGGTCTTTTATTAAAAACACGTTTTCAATATTTTACAGTTCTATCATTACTCCCACTTGAGCACAATAAAAATTCTAAAACATGCCAAACATTTTGCTCGCTTTCAAGACTGAGATTTGAACAATGTTTTCTCCATTAAAATTTAGGATCCATCAGAACACCAACCTTATATAAGTTAGCCGTGTAACAACTAACAATCAAAAAGCATGCGTCAACTTACAACAAACAATCAAAAAGCATGCGTCAACTTCTTCGGATACGGTTCTTTTCCATAGCAACATAAAAACAGAAAATTATCCAATACAATAGCATACACAATACCACTCATAGATGAGCCTATAACTTCAATTAGATATGTTACAAAATTTATAGCAATAACATTCTATAAGAGGCAAAGACAGAGTTTGAAGCTTATGGGCTTAGAATTTGAGTCTTTTGAGCTACTTGGTTCTAAATCAATAATTTGTAGATAAATTTCATAAGACAAATATAGGTTTTGAACAAAAAAAGGATTGGGTTCTGCTGAATCCTCTTCCTACACTCTAGTTCCGCCCCTGATTCTGATAGTGGAAACATTTAAAGATGCTTTCTACTAATAAAAAAATCATAACTAGCAGAGTGATAACATCAACATTAATTCAACTATTATATGTAAGACATAAACCAGTAACAGGTATAACATGCCTATCATAGATGCCTCTTTAGGAGAAGTTTCCTCAACATAGTCTTCTCTTATCTCCACAAGACCCTCCTGTCAAAGATTGATTGGAATCATCAAATTGATATAACTATCTGAACTACAGAAACTAAAAACGAATATGCACAAGCAAAAAGAAAAATTACTCCCTCTAACCCAATTTTAGTGTCTTAGTTTGACCAAGCACGGAGTTCAAGAAATAAAGGGAGACTTTTGAATCTTGTGATCTTAAATCAAACATGTTTGTAGTACTTTAAAGCTTGTGATCTTAAACTTGCCATGTAGAATGTTGGAATTGGAGAACTTACTAAGTTTAGAAAGGACATTCTTTTTGGAACAGATAAAATAGGAAAGCAAGACATTTAAATTGGGACGAAGGGAGTAATACAATAAATCAAATGTGAACATCCCAACTATCAACTAACGCTTACAGTGCACACATGCATTCATATGACAAGCGAACCAGTGAGAAGTATCTATCAAAAAATTCACACCAAATAGGCAAGTCATCTCAACCTAACTCAAGTTTTTGCATTTCTCAAATTTAAGTCCCAACACACTCTCATGTCATATCACCAAATAAGTTTCTGGATCACTTGAAACACCGTAATTCTATTATCATTACCTGCTGCATCCAAATAAGCTTTCTAGCACTTCTAAACACGGCAGTCATATTATATCATATTAGTAACTCAAACACTTAGGAAAGCAATACCATGTCAAAATGTTCAAGCACCATATGATAGAACTAACAAGCATACCGCTGCCTCAGAAGCTGTAGCATCAAAAAATGAGGCCTCAGCCTTAAGGTCTTGCATTAAAGCCTTTACAGACTCCACTTGGACCTCCAATGCCTTCCCTCTTCTGTTCAGTATCCCAACTGTTTGCTTCGCTGTCCTCTCAGCATAATGACCCTCTCCTAGAAGAACCTGCATACATGACAGAGAAGTAGAAAATTATATTCAAGAAGTTGTTACTAGCTGAGGAATCTAAGAGCGAAATTTCACGTATTTGTCAGTAAAAAAAAAAAGATGAAGCGTATTTTCATAATCAACCAAAGACCACTTGCTAATTAGCCAGACAAAATAGCAAGTTAAATATAAGGTTTTAAACTTAGAAATGATTGTCTAAACAGCAGACTTAGACTTATCAAACAGATGCAAAAAATCTAATGCAGAATTCAGCAAAGAAGAAATGAAGCATATTCCATGATTTGGCAAAGAAGATCCTACCACTATCAGGTGCCTCGTCGGAGAACAATAACCTTTCCAGTTTTACTGATATATTAATCAATAAACCATCCGATTGGACAGTTTTGAAGAAATGGTTCATTTTGATCAAGGAAGAGAACCAGCAACAGATCAACGACAGCTCATTCCCAAACTAGTTGGGTTGACTATACCGATTCCACTCTACTCATTCTGCTCTACTTAGGTCATTAAGAGGATTCATCATAGTGATACTACTCTTATAACAGTCATCAACTTATCACAATTCTCCTCCCTTATTTGGGCTTGCGACAAGAAATACTTTGCACATAACGGAGTTTGATCAAGGAAGAGCTTCTGACAGGGAAAAAAGTTTCCATTTAATCCAGAAAGAAAGACAAAAACTTTGTGCAGGAAGGCCAAAATTTTGTGCATCATGCACAATCAACAGATAAGTCTTGCACTCAGTGGCAAAGCCACATACAATGGAGGGGATTCATCGGAAAGTTTTACTGCCTAAATAAGGTAAAAAGGATTTTTTAAACATATATAAAATTTTGAATCCCCTCAACAGGTTCAACTCTCAAGTGTGACATTTTCGAATCCCCTCATCAGAACTCTGATTCCTCCACTCTTATTGCACCTCAAGTATCGCTTGTTAGTAATGTCTTTCGTACTCTCATATTACCTCATTCTTCTAAATTTTTTTGGCAATAAAATGTGAATATTACCATACAACCAAACCAACTCAACAATTTTTACAATCTACGAGCATCTAGTGATCTGAATTCCTTTCTAGGAAGATCATTCAGTTTCGATCTAGACCTCCATCGCACTTACTAAAACAAACCTATATTAATTATAAATTCGCTGTAACAAAACTTGACACCTTCTTGCTTTTTGTGATCCTGTGACCATGCTCACCCTTTCTCTGATTTCCTTTTGAATCTGTGACGTTATATACCTTGTGTCTACATTCAAACCCCTGTACACTCTCCAGTTCCTTGCTTGCCAGGCATAATAAATCAAGGCTCCATATGATGCAGCTGCTAGTTCCTTGCGAAATTGTCTCCATTGTCTATTCTTGATCCATCGCATACAATCCTCTACATTTTTTGCTGGGATTGGAATGCCAGCCCATCTACTCAACGATCCAAGTGCAATCTACAAAAAGATGATGTTGGTTCTCTATCGTAGCCAGTGCACACAAGCAGCAATTAGTATCTCCTACATCTGGAAACTGTAGCCTCATCATCCTCTCCTTTGTAAGAAGCTTATTCTGGTATGGTACCCACATGATCACCCTTTGACTAGGTAGCATAATAGAATTCCAGATTAGATCTGCTTCCGTTAGTCTAGTCAAAGGACCCAATATATCAATATAGCTGCTAGACACCGAGTAGATACCATTATTCGTTAATCTATATATGCCTCTTCTGTACCAATTTACCATTTTCTCCTTCAAGCCATTCAATTTTTTCCAGTACCAGCTACTATCCTGAGGTGAGCAATGATCCCAAATATTCCTACATGTTTTCATATATTTCTCATGCACCCATTTTACCCATAACATGTCCTTTGTTGCCAGTTGCCATAAAAGTTTCCCAATGGATGCTACATTCCAGTTTTCACATCCTTTAATGTTCAAACGACCAAACTTCTTAGGTATACAAACTCTTGTCCAAGCTACCAAGGAGACTTTCCTATGACCTTCATAGATAATCTCTACATTTTCTATCAATCTCTTTGATTACACATTGTGGAAGAATGAAGACAGCCCCCCAAAAGCTGTAAATGGAAAATAAAACAGCATTGATAACCTATAGTCTACCAGCATATTATAGTTGCTTCGCATATCCATTGCTTATTCTGCTTGTTATCTTGTCCACTAGTTGATGGCAATCCAATTTGCTCCATTTCTTTGAGGATAAAGGCAATCCTAAATATCTGATAGGTAGGGATCCTTTAGTGAATCCAATACTGTCAATAATCTTCTGTTGAAGTACCTCTCCTACCCCTGCTAGATAAATGCTGGACTTCTCCTGATTCGCCACCAGCCCTGTTACATCACTAAAATGATTAATTGCCTCCATGATTTTGTTAATGGAAATTAGATCCCCTTTGCAAAAATAGCATCAAATCATCAGCAAATATTAAGTGAGTGAGTTTTGTTGCCTTGCACATAGGATGAAATTGGAACTCAGGTTGTACATTCATTCTGTGAAGGACCCTTGTTAAGTATTCCATGACAAGCACAAAGAGTAAGGGGGACATTGAATCTCCTTGTCTAAGTCCCCTTCTCCCTTCAAAGTAACCTTGTCCTTCCCCATTTACTTTGATAGTGTATTTCGTTGAAGTCACATACTTCATTACCAGATTGACAAAAGGTAAGGGAAAACCATAGCCTATCAGGGCTTCTTCTAAAAATTCCCAACTTACCATATCATACGCTTTTTTGAGGTCTATTTATTTTCCTACTATAATGTCATAGTAGGTATGACAGATCAATACATTGTGAATAAGAGACCTCCCTTCTACAAAAGCACCTTGATTCTCCGACACTAACATTGGAAGTACTTCTCTTAACCTTTGATATATCACTTTTGAGATGCATTTGTATAGAACATTACAGCAAGCTATAGGTCTGTACTAGCTTGCAAACTGAGGATGTTCTACTTTTGGAATTAGAACAACCATAGTTGCGTTTATCTGATTAAGGAGTTGCCCATTCGCTAAGAATTCAAGTATAGCAGTAGTTACCTCCTCACCTACAATTTTCCATGATGATTTGAAAAAACCACTCCCAAATCCATCTGGACCAGGGCTCTTATTTATATCAATGCTGAACATGGCTACTTCTATCTCTTTTGCTGTGTAGGGCCTTAGAATTTGTAGTTGTTGACTTGTAGTCAGGACACAACCTCCCCTTAGAATGTTCTTTTCTCCACTATTTTCTATATATTTTCTACACTAATGTACTTCCCTTTCTTACTGATTTGATACTATTTACTTGATCTGAGATCAATCGGAAACAATGTCTCTACCTTAACAACCTTCCCGAGATAGGGGGCAAGGCTCCATACACATCACTCTCCAGACTCCACTTATGGGATTACACACTAGGTATATTTTGTTTTTGTTTGCTGAAACGACACAAGGAAAAAGGCTCATACTATTGAAATTGCTTACAACAACAACAGACCTAATATAATCCCACAAAGTGGATTCTGAGGAGAGCAGACCGTACGCAAAACTTATCCCTACCTCAAAGGTAGAGACGTAATTTGTGATAGACCCTCGGCTCAACGGAAAAATAGTGACAGTCCAGAAGATAAAAAAGTAATAGAAGTACAAAGAAATAGTAAATAGTAACAAAAACAGCAGACAGTAACTATAACAAAATAATATGATTATCATAGTACAAAAAACAACAAGTAATAACAGAAATCGAAACTGAGCAATACTACAACTACTACTACTGAAATCGCTTAACGAATAAATTACCAGAAATTCATTGGTGTGAATCAATCGACCAGGAAAAAATGCAGCTTTACCAAACGGAACCTGAAAATTTGCAAAAACGCGAACACATTAATCGCCTAGACATACAACTAACGTATAACACTTTACTATCCATTCAAAGGGAAAAAGGTACAGTAAACAAAAATTCACCATGATATCATGATGGAGCTCATCGGGAAGTCGCTGAACAAGCCTAATAAGAGTATTATTGTCGTCGGCAAAATCTCGGAGCTGGTCCAGCTGCTTCTGCCGCTCCGATATAATTTCCTCCACACGCTTCGCTGCTTTCTGCGCTTCTTCCACCGGAAACAGTGAAGATAGTGACGTCACCGTTCCCTTCACTGATTCTGCCATGACTTCACTTGCCGGCAAACACCGGCGGCAACAAAATCCTCTTTCCGGCCTGTGTTCCGCGCGGTGAAAGAAAATTAGGGTGCCTTTCAAATTTCTTTTTTGGAAAATTAGATTACATCAAAATAATTTCGGGGAAATATGTAAAAAAAAAAAGAAAATTGCTAAAGAGATATATTTTAGGCAAAAGGTATAATATACCTCTGAATTTTATCTTTTATAGTTGAAACACTTATTTTATAGTTGAAATACTCTATATTTTAAAATAATTCATATATAATATTCCTATCATTATACAAGTAACTCATGGATATCATTATCGTTAATTAAAAAAAGCTTATATACTCTCTTTTCTCTTTATCTAACAAAAGTAAAAAAATAAAGTTTTGAAACTTTTTTAAAAAAAATAAAATAATATATATATATATATCCTTTTAACAAATATTTAAATTTTTTCATACATAAATTATATTTTAACTTCTTTGATTATTATTATTTGAGTTTTTTTTCTATCATTCTTTGGCTTAAAAAAAAAGAGAAAATATATAAATAAATAAAAAATTATACTTGGTAGTACAACTTACTTCAGTATTTAAACAAAACGGACATTTGGATATCGCCTTAACATTTTTGAAAGTGAATTAAATACAACTCTGAGAATAGAATATCACTCTCACCTGACACATCAAAATGATAAGTATGATGATGTATGTTACTCTCATGACATGACTTTCCTAATCCAAATTTGGCATGTCCAGTGACTTGACTTTCCATAATTCATATCGTTAGGAGAGAACTCTTATTAACATGCATGTCCTTGGTGTGTGCTTGCATATACACATAATTAGTACAAGTGTGTACTAATCTCATACAACTCTATACTTTTAGGTGCAGGCACAGGCGGACGCTAGAGCTTACGATACGACGTTATAGCTATCGGACATGGAGCATTCATTTGGACTTGGTAGACCCTCATGCTTTCGAGGACGCTTTCCTATTATATTCTAGCTTAGATATAAATATGTAGAGTTGAAGCCACAAAATCCCAAAGGGGAAGAATGAGTACTTCAAGTTTCATCTTTGAATTTCATCAAGTCTACACTCTGATACGTTGAATTTTGGGCATTTTTTCCTTCCTATATGGATGAATAAAAGTCTAAGTTTTTGGGTCTTCCATCCTTTTCTTTGTGGATAAAATTAGTCCAAATTTGACAAATCACTTTTGCCCATAAATTCAATATTATGGTGCATATGTAAGACTTTCTTTTAGGTCTTATTTAGACAAGAATCTCAAGTGTTTGAGAGCAGCTAATATAGAGATAGAAGTGAGAAAGTGCAGATTTTCGCACAAGCCCTAGTAACTATTTTCAAATATCGGTTCCCATTTTGTTTCTTGTCCGATTAAGCTGATTTTTGGATAGCGTGTTCCTTTCAACTAAATCTTTGATTGGGAACTCTGACAGAGGGTGATTTGAAGACCTGTAACTCCAGATTTTAGCTTGTAAATAGTAGATGTGGTTTGGTGTTTTTGTTTCTCTTATTTCTGCAATTTTTGGTGCTATCTAGTAGTTGTATTGCTAATTGTTTTGGCACATTATTGATGACCATTTTGGAAGACACTTTTGTAACTCTTGTTGATTATAGTGGAATTTTAGTCTTGTAGTTTTTACTCTTCGTACTGAAGAATTTTTCCACATTAAATTTAGTGTCTCTTGTATTGATTTACTTTCTTGTTTGGTTGGTTAGTTTGTTGCCCAAACTGTTTTATTTTTTGCATTATTTTGCCTTCTCTTGATTCAAATAGAAATGGAAAAGTTTTGACTTGAGTTTCTTCTGCTATCGCCTTTGTCGTGCACATTTATTTTGTGCTTGTCTTTCCCAACGTAATAAGCCTTTACAAGACGTGTTCGATTCTAATTGAACACTATAAGACGTGTTCAATTCCCATTAGGTTCTTAGAGACTAGTCAATCCCAAGTCGTAGTTCATGCCTATATAAATATAAAGGGTAAAATAAGAGACATCTCGAGCATTTTGCAAATCCATGAGTTCATAAAGTGATTAAGACGTGACCTTCTAGTTCGAGAAATACGCCATTAACGACCCTTGAATCACGAAGAAATCTAGATCATCTTAGTTTGAAACTCGAATCACGAAAAAAGAGAAACTAGGAGAGAAGAATCATATCAAAGAAAATTATTTTATTAATAACATTCTTGTTTATACAAATTTTATTTACAATGAATTTCTTTTTATATATATTTAGAAATTGTTACAAACCAATACCTGTTGAGAGACTTAATAATATATTAAAAGAACATAAAAAATTTTAAAAGATGAAAAGTACTTAACCGTCTTGAGGGACTTAATAATAATTTGAGATTAAAATACCTATTTTATTTCAAGAAAAATAATTTATAATACATAAATATCTTATAATTTATTTTAGATCAAAACCTCCACATTATAATTCATATAAATTAAATTGGAACCATTAAAGTATTTATTAAAGCAAAGCTGTCAACAAGTACAAAAGGAGATATAGGGACAAATTCAATGAGATTCCATTCATGACAGCTCAATCACAACAATCATCAATGAACTTATCCAAGTCAACATGATTTATTTTCAATGCAAATAATTACACCAAACTACATAAAACATACATTTCTTTGGATGATAAATAATGTAGTATTTGATTAACCTTGAAAATAAAAGAAAGAAGTATTTGGAAATATTTTTAAATTTCGCATGAATCATTAGTTTCATTTTTAATTTATTGTGAGTTGTAAAATATTAGTTTTACTTGATTAGCTCTCAACTTATATATACTTTAGATCTTGTAATATGAGTGGAATATATCTTTGCATTCTCATCAAATTTAGTGTTTTTTTAATACTTTTTTCAATTTTTTTATTAAGAGTCTCATGCTCCTAAGGGTTTGAGATCATTTTTACATCATATGACAAATTGAAGACGTATTTAAGTTTAATTAATCAAATAAAAACATATTTTTAAAAGTGTTAATAATTTATACAAAAATTAATAAATTATGCCAATAAAATGATATACAAAAAATAAATTTTCAACCTATAATATCCTATAACAACACTGAAAAATGTGTTCAAATACT